GAACTGGCGACTTTGTAGTACAACTTCTTAGTACGCGGAGCAATCTGTGGAGCTGGAAGCTGAGAACTGGCGACTTTGTAGTACAACTTTAGTACGCGGAGTATCTGGGGAGCTGGAAGATGAGAACTGGCGACTTTCTAGTGCAACTGTAGTGCGCGGAGCAATCTGTAGCTGGAAGCTGAGCACTGGCGACTTTGTAGTACAACTTTAGTACGCGGAGTATCTGGGGAGCTGGAAGATGAGAACTGGCGACTTTCTAGTACAACTCTAGTACGCGGAGCAATCTGTAGCTGGAAGCTGAGAACTGGCGACTTTGTAGTACAACTTTAGTACGCGGCTGAGTCATCTCTATTCTGTATTTTGCAAAATGCGAGACAGTTGACGGTGGTTGCTTCGCTTTCGCTCCACTGGTCGGTTCCAACTTGTTTTGTCAAAGAACATCGCAGCTCGGCGAATCAGCCTGCACATGCCCATTTCCTATAGGGTCTCTTTTTGAAACTTCCGCCGCCGGCTTGCCCGGGAACTACTTGTAAAAATGTGGACTAAAGTTCCTCCTGCTACTCTGAAAGAGAGCAGAAAATGAAGCGGTGACTGAAACTCTGAAGCTGTGGTGGATGGAAAAAATTGCCTCTAGAAGCAAGGGCCCAGGAATGGCAAAACGTTCGACTGCAGAAAGTTGTTGTTGAACTGCCCTTAATGGCTGTTCCATTTGTTTTCAACCTTCCAGTCGAAAACCGTTATTGACCAAATGTCCCATAGGAGGCCGTGCTGACTCCTGACTCGGTGTTTTGCGCCACCTGTTTGAGACCTTGGGAACCAAGGGTTCCTAACACCACCTCGTAGGAATTGAAAACGGGTCCGTGGTCCGGTCACCGAAATGCATCACATTATTAGTATAAATAGATAGTGTGATATAGATCAACCCTTACAATGCAGTTGAATCTAGAAGCGCCCAAATTCACGACGCTGCAACTAAGCTACCTTTCGCAAGAGCAAAAAACACCGGTATTTGCAATGTTTTCTAGCCCCCCCGTTTTTGTCCGCGTGCCCCTCCAGATTTCCGGCGGGGAACACTGCCGTCGGGAGCTGGCAGTTGAGGTCTGGCGGGGAACGCTGCCGTCGGGAGCTGGCGGTGAGGCCCGGCGGGGAACACTGCCGTCGGGAGCGCATGAAAGGCAATGAACAAAGTACTATAGTTGTCAACATTCCAGGCGGCAATGCCCGTGAGAACATCAATGGTGCGTGCAAGTTAGCAAGGCGGCAGGCAAAGCAGCCAGAAGACCGGATGCAAAATGGACACCCCCTTGCAAGGCAAAGAGCTTTTTTGCTGAAGTAGCTTTGTTTTTCTGAGGGTCAATAGCCCATAGAAATGCGCGCGTGTGAGGGCTACTACCTCAGTCCGAACGGATTTAGGGTTCTGCTGCAGGGCGTCGTGGCACAGACGTGGTGACATGCGGGCTCGCCGTCTGGTGCAGACATGGTGCATACTTATTTGTGACATCTGCGTGACCAATCCAACGCATCGCATCATCGCATCAGAGCATGGGATGACGCCGAGTCTCAGGGTAGAGCGTTGGCAACGATTCGTGGCAGGCGCAGTACATTGCGCGTGTTGGAGGTGTCGAAGTCGAGTTTTCGTGGCAGGCGCGGGGAGTCGTGATGTCGTGACGCTTGGTGGTGCCATTGGGATTGATGTGCTCGCTCTGATGGGGCTTCCTGCTTCAGTTTTGGAGGAAGCCTCGTCGCGCTCGTTTTGGAGACTTGACGCGTGATTTTTGGAGGAAGTCTCATACGAAGCGTTCGTTTTGGAGACTTGCCGCGCAATTTTATTGAGGAAACAAGAGGGTCCTGCGAAAGTGCCCCACAAGAGTGTCCCACAAGAGAGTGTCCTACAAAAGTGCCCTACAAGAGTTTTTTTACAACTGCGCCCCACAAGATCCCACAAGAGTGTCTTACAAGACTGTGCCACAAGAGTGTCCCACGAATCCAAACGCGCACACGCACTCGAAAACAACCAAACTTGTTGTTTCTTAGCAGCCTGGTTGCAGGGCGCGAGTAGCTCAATTGGAAATGAAGCTGGCGCAGAAGCTTCTGACAGAGGAGGACATGCAGGACTGGGCACGTTGAGCAACCTCTTTTTCCGGGCGTGCTTGAGGTTGGATTCGCAATTTGTTCAAGGCTTGGCAAGCTGCATGGCACCTCCCAGGAGGATTTGCCTCCTTCCATTCTCCAACCACTGAGCCTTGGATAAAGAATGAAGAATATTAATGTTTTTCAGTTTGGATTGAAAGCCGCTGAGCCGCGCATACAAATCTTGACCCAGGGTCGATGCTGCAGTGAAAGAGGTTCCGGAGTTGCAAGCTGTGGAAGACGCCCGAATGGGCATGACAGAAGACAAGATGTGAGCCGGCTCTCATTTGTTGGGTGTGCGTAGTTTGTGATTTTGCCGTGGTTTCTGGCGTCATTTTCTTGAGGGGCGCACTGTGTATGTCCTTTCTTATGAATGACGAATTTTCACTTTTTATACGGCCCTGCCACCGTCTTAGGGCAAGCGGGGATCCACGCAAGTCAGGATGCTGTGTCTTTATTTTAAGTCATTTGAAACACAGAGGTCAGCGCGGCATGTTTCCCATCGACCGACAAAGCGAAACAGGGGCCATCCCGCCTCTTTGTGTCTGGGATCAAAGGCGATGGGACGACAAAGCGCGGTTCAAAGCCAGGCACTCTTGTCATGGACAAGCCTGCCGGCGCATTGTAAGGCCCAGCGCGCAAGATGCGAACGCAAGAGCGCGGATTTGAATTTAATTGAAATCAAAACCCAACATCTCCGGCGACGCAATGAGTTTGCGCTCGTCCCGATGAATGGACGCATGTGTTTCTCGCAGCACGCAAGTGAGCTTAAACTCCACCTCAGCATTTGCCAGCCAACATGATGGTTTGGCTTTCACGAGTTAAAAACAACCAAGAGAATGGAACAATATATCGGCCTTGCTCCACATGGACATGCTGCAAGCTGGAGAAAGTAACGCTTGACGGCTACAAATTGGCACCAGCTTTCTTCGTGTCTCGTTCAGCGCGAAAATGTGTGAAGCATGTTGATTTGCTCGTGTGACATCGCCCGCAATATCCCGCCACCATCCATCATAGGCCAGTGAAGATGTAAACGGCATTCCATGGAAATGCCCAGACGCGCAACGATGGCTTCACGTCACAAGCTTCCAGCGCCTCAAAAGATTGGGGCGGTGTTGTCTGCAGTACTTGCAAGCCGGTTGTGTTGTTCGTGATGGGGACAACAGCTCCGACCCGCTCAGTCCGAATTGTTTGCGCTGGGTTGACAAAGCCTTCCGGCAGAGCTCCCCGTAAACCGGATTTTGCGGTTTTGCTGCGCTTTTCTTCCTTTCTGCTCGCTGTCCCACTCAAGTCCCCTGCCGTGCCGCAATTTCAAAACCAGAGGGCCCGTGAGGGAGAGATGCTAGCAACCTTCTGGAGCCACGCGAAGTTTCCATCCCATAGAGAGTGCATGATTTGTGTCTCCTATAGCCCCACCACTACTTGCAAGTAGTTGCCCTCGTTGTGTGCTGCTATGTCTTTTTGTGTTTTTGGGAGTTGTTCCATATCAACGAACTACTGCAAGACACTGTGCTTGATCTGGCTGCGAGGTATGTTTTCCAAATGGGCAACGCGTCGGGCAAGCAGGCCATCTACAGGCGAAAGTATGAGGCACCAATGCTTGGCTGCAACAATATTGGGATATCTGTCATGTAACCCTACAATCCATGACGACCGAACTGTTTGGGTTGTGTAGGTGATGGGCATGGTGCTTACGCAACAAGAAGAGTTTTTGAAGGCGCCCTGCTTCGCTCTGTTTAATTGAATGTGCAGTGGTGGGTAAGCTTGTCCAGGCAAGTCGCAAAGCAGTGAAAAGTGCCAAGTCGTCGCCAGCCATCCAGGAGCAGAGAGGTCCATTTCTCTTGAGGACCAATATATATATATATATGTATATATATATGTATATATATATATGTATATATATATATACGTTCGCCCCCCCCGGTACCTACCTTTTGGGTGACTTTATCAGATGTAGGCTAGAGATCACTTCTATATATATAAATATATTTTAAAAAATAGCAAACACTTGTCATTTCAAAAGCTTTCCTCGGGTTCTTGAGAATGGCCACTGCTATGTTCAAGAGCTATAAAACCTTTCATTGCAAAAGGTTTTTCTGAATGTCTGGGAATGATCACTTTTATATTAAGAAGCTTCATGCAAAGGTGTTTATTCCAAATGTTAATTTTTGATATCTGGGAATAATCTACAAATTTCTATATATATATATTAAAATTGTTTTTGATAGAAAATACTATAGAGCCTGAGCCTTTGTTTGAAAAGTTGCCTTCCGGGTCTCTAGGGAATTAGTAAAAGCCCTATATGAAGGCGTTCATTTCAAAAGCTATTCTTCTGTGAAAATAGAACTGCCAATCAAGAGCCCCTCATCACCGGTAGGCTTCCTCTCTAAAACCTTCCATCAAAGATCAAAGATCTTTGTGGATGTGAAATGGCACATATATTTAAGTACAGTAACATGTGATGAAACTATACTAGGGCTGTTTCAAAACAAACTGAAAACATATTTCAACAATCAAGCAACTTACAGTAGTTATATAGTTAAACATCACTACAAAAAAAATTGAACCCAAATTACACCACCGTAGACCCCAAACAAGTAGGACAACAAAGAAGCAAATCCATTTTTTGAGACATGGGAGACAAGAAGGAAGACAAAGTGGACACAATGACGGCACAATGACCAACGAAGGGGGACAAGAAGGGAGACAAAGAGAACAGAAGGGAGACAAGACGGACACAATGACCAACAAGAAGGGAGACAAGAAGGAAGACAAAAGGAGACAAAAAGGAGACACAAGGCGGACACAGTGGCCAACAAGAAGGGAGACAAGAAGGACACAGTGACCAACAAAAAGGGAGACAAAGGAGACCAGCAACAAGGAACAGAAGGGAGACTGGACGGGCACAATGACCAACAAGAAGGGAAGCAAGAAGGGAGAGAAAGGGAAGACGAGGCGGACACAGTGACCAACAAGAAGGGAGACAAGAAGGGAGTCACAAGGAAGCAGACGGGAGACAAGGCTGACACAGTGACCAACAAGAAGGGAGGCAAGACAGAAGGAAGAAAAGAGAACAGAAGGGACACAAGACGGACGCAAAAGAGAGACAAGACGGACACTGTCACCAACAAGAAGGGAGAAAAGACCGGAGACAAAGGAAAGGGAAACAGAAGGGAGACAAGGGACACTATGACCAACAAGAAGGGAGACAACAAGGGAAACAAGCAAGAAGGGAGACAAAAGGAAACAGAAGGGAGACAAGGCGGACACAGTGACCAAAAAGAAGGGAGACAAGACCAGAGACAAAGGAAAACAGAAGGGACACAATGATCAACAGGAAGGGACAGGAAGCAGAAGCGAGACAAGACGGACACAGTGACCAACAAGACCAGAGACAAAGGGAGACAGAAGGGAGACAAGGAGGACACACTGACCTACAAGAACGGAGACAAGAACGGAGACAAAAGGACCTGGGAGACAAATGAATAGACATGCTGCATGGCCAGCGGAAAAGGGCGGACGCCAGCAGTGCAGGCACCGAACCTGGGAGACAAAAGTAAACAAGTCACATGGGAGACAAATGAACAGAAATGCTGCATGGCCAGCCGAAAAGGGCGGACACCAGCAGCGCAGGCTCGGAACCTGGGAGACAAACGGAAAGAAATCACATGGGAGACAAAAGAATAGAAATGTTGCATGGCCAGCAGAAAAGGGCGGACACCAGCAGTGCAGGCACGGAACCTGGAAGACAAAAGTAAAGAAATCACCTGGGAGACAAACGAATAGCACTGCTGCGTGGCCAGCGGAAAAGGCCGGACACCAGCAGTGACAGAAAGGGCGGACGCGTCTTAAGAAAGAATTGGGAACCTCTAACAGTAAACTGCTTAGGGGAAACAGCAGTTAAAACGTATATGCAAATAAATTGAAAGCAATTTAGGTAAAATTGAAAAAAGTTGCCATTGTGTCCGTCTTGTCTCTCGTCACTGTGTCCGCATTGTCTTCTCTCTTTTTTCCCTACAGAAGGAAGACAAGACGGACACAGTGATGAACAAGAAGGGCGACAAGACCGGAGACAAAGGGAGACAGAACACTCTAGGACACTCTTGCGGGACACTCTTGTAGGACACTCTTGTAGGACATTCTTGTGGGGCACTCTTGCGGGACACTATTGTGGGACACCTTGTAGGACACTGTTGCGAAACAGTCTTGTAGGACACTCTTGTAATACGCTCTAGTATGTCACTCTTGTGGGACACCCTCGTAGGACACACTTGTCGGACACTCTTGTGGGACACTCTTGTGGGACACTCTTGCGGGGCACTCTTGTAGGACACTCTTGTGGGGCACGCTTGTAGGACACTCTTGGAGGACACTTTTGTGGGGCACTCTTGTCGGACACTCTTGTAGGACACTCTCGTGGGGCACTCTTGCAGGACACTCTTGTAGGGCACTTGTGGAACACTCTGGTGGGACACTCTTGTATGTGACTCTTGTGGGACACTCTTGTGGGACACTCTTGCGGGACACTCTTAGTTTGTCGCTCTTGTGGGACATTCTGGTAGGGCACTCTTGTGCGACACTCTTGCGGGACACTCCTACGCGACACTCTTCTACGACACTCTTGTTTGTCACTCTTGTGGGACACTCTGGTAGGACACTCTTGCGAAACAGTCTTGTAGGACACTCTTGCACGTCACTTTGTGGAACACTCTCATAGGACACTGAGTCTTCAAAACGAGTGCTTCGTACGAGACGTCCTCCAAAAGTCACTCGTCAAGTCTCCAAAACGAGCGTTTCGCGCGAGACCTCTTCAAGTCTGCAAAACAAGCGCTGCGTACGAGACTTCCTCCAAAAGTCACGCGTCAAGTCTCCAAAACAAGCGTTTCGCGCGAGACCTCCTCCAAAAGTCGCTCCAAAAGTCAAGCGGGAAGCCCCATCGCAGCACACACACACATCAAGCAGCCCTGCCAAGCAGTTGCGCGATTCCAGCCCCTCCAAACAACACCCGCTCACATGCCAATCCCAATGTCACAGCGACATTTCCACCACAACTCGCAACCTCACGATTCACACGTCTAACACGCACAAAGTACTGCGTTTGCCACGAAAGGTGACCTCCGCCACCTCACGATTCCCTGGGCCTGCCTCGAAATGTGACAATATCATATCATTGCACCACACCACACGTTTGGAATGATTTCGACACGTTCTGAGCACGCTCCCATCCACCAAAATCGCGATGTCAGCTGAGACTTGTCACGAAAACAGAGCTTCGACGCAACACCCTGAAACGCAAATCCCAATGGCACAGCCACATCCAACACCCCCAAAACACCACTCTCCAAACGCAAATCCCAATGTAACTGCGCAGAAAACTGCTGATCTCACAAAACGCTGCGCCTGCGCAGCGAACTCACCCTCGCTATTTCACACGAATCTGACACATCACGCTTCTATGCCAAACCCTCTCCAAAACCTTCCCCCAATGGCAGCGGCCTTAGCGTCCTACTGCGTTCGGCGGCGAACGGTTGACAACGGTTGCGAACGCTGAGACAACGAGTCGCGAACAAGACCCTACCCCCAGACCCCCAGAGTTAAACGAGAACCCTTCGCTACGCATTCGGGAAAATTCAATCCAACTACAAACAAATTCAAGTAAGACAACGGCGTTTATTTGTGGGCTCTGCAGTAGGTATTGTGGGTTACCAAAACTGCACAGCCCTGTGTCTCCAAAGTGGCTCAGGCCTGGGCGTTGCAGATTTTGATTTTTTTGGTATTTTGGTATTCTAACGTACCAAAGTACCAAAACTGCACAGATCTATGTCCCCAGAGTGGGCTGAGCTCAGGCCATGGTGTCTGTGCAGTTTGGGAATTTTAACTTCGGCACTTTGGTTCCCCAGGTCATGGGGTCTGCAGTTTCGGTACTTTGGTTTTCCTTTTGAATGTATGGAACAAAGTCCTATTCCGCAACTCTCTTCCGCAACTATTTGGCACTCTTCCGCAACTACTCTTCAGAAACTATTTCACGCTCTTCAGAAACTATTTCGCGATTTTCAGAAACTATTCCGCGATCTTCAGAGACTATTTCGCAATCTTCAGAAACTTTTTGCGCGCTTTAGAAAGCACCCTTCAGAACTTTTACAATATTGCAACCAATTTGCATGAAGGAGCGCTGGGTGGGTGGGTGGGTGGGTAGTAGGTGGGTGGGATATTGGACGTACCTTGTGACGGCTATACAGAAAGTCTTTTGCGATCTGCAGAAAGTTTTTCGTGCAGGTTTGACGTTGCTCTTCGACTCTTCGCAGTTTCCGAGCATCAGTTTCTGAAGAAACTGTATAAAGTTTCCGAAGATTAGTTGCCGAAGAATAGCTTCCGAAGAAAGCCTTAAAGTGTCCGAAGACCGCTTTTGAGTTGCCGAAGGTTAGTTTCCACAGAGAAGTTTCCGGAGAAAACCGCATAGTTTCCGAAGGTTAGTTTCCCAAGAAAACGTAAAGTGTCCGAAGATTAGTTTCCGAAGATCACCTTTAGTTTCCGAATAAAACTTTCTGACCGAATGCATGTATACAAGTTACTGGAGAAAACCACAAAACATTATAATGGTGAGCAGATGGAAAATCATGAGCAGATCGAAAATCAGCACAAAACAATGGAAAATACAGTAAAATCACCTAAAGGGTAGGTACCGGGGGTACCATATATATATATACACATATATATATAGCTTTATACAATATACAATTCTATATAATATATGTACATTTAGTATATTTTATATCCGAAAACCCAACGAAAAGGTTTCCCTCGAAGACAGTCGCGCCTGCCTTTGTGACTCTTGGCTACATGCCCCTTATTCCTTCGCAGGTGAAAGTTTGCCAGCATTGTGAGACGTGTCTGTGCAATTTTTGTGTTTCCCGGGAGCATCGCAAAGGGCTGTAGAAATCTTTTGCGTAGGTGTCTGCATCAATACAGAATCTTTCTGGCTTGTTCATGGCTGCATTGGTATGTATGCTATAAGCTACATCTGCAGCTTGCGCGCGCGGTCTTCTCCCTGCTGCTATAGGGGGCTATTAACGCATGTCCAAATGCATTTGCAACTTATCCAGCTGCAGTTGTACGCGCGCTACAAAGGTTTACTAGAACTACATCTGCAGATTGCAGGCGCAGGTATGGTTGTGTAGAGCTGCTGCTACGCTAGCTTTGGCGCTAGTATCTTGCTTTGGCGCTGGGGTCTAGGTGCTTGGGTCTTGCTTGGATAACTTTGGCTGGCATTGCATTGGTGCTGGAATCTTGCTTTGGTGAGTCGCATTGGCGCTGGGATCTTTGAGTTGCTTTGGTGATGGGGTCTTGGATATAGAGTCATTGACAAAGTCAAACAACAACTTTCACTGAGGGCTTGCTTAAGTAAAATCATATGCAAAATCAAGTATAACTTTTGCACGGGTCTTGGTTCAGGAAACATATATACGCAATATAAGAACACATATGTTAAGACATGGAGTAAAACATGTTTGTTCGCGCACGCGTGATATATCTCGGCTATTTATCTCTTCTTTCTTAGCCGGGGGCCTGGCCGGATAGGGCTTGCGAAACGTGACCCTCTGCGGAGATCGCGCGCATCGAGCGCTCAAATGCGTTGCGAAATGCAAAGTCGGGTTTGGCCGGAGGCACCCCTCTGCGGAGATGCGCGCGTCGAAGGCTCAAACGTGCACGGCTGCGCTAACCTTCTGCGGAGATCGCGCGCGTCGAATGCTCAAACGTGTGGTGAATTGCGAATTCCGACTGTGGGGATCGGGCGCGTTGAGTGCTGAAACACTGGTCGATAGTGTGAAACTGTCGCCGCAAATGGTGCCAGAAGCTGGATGGTAGAGTGCGCAACTGGTCGCCGAAAACGAAGGTGGAGGTTGCCAAAGTGTGCAACCGTCATCGAAAACGGAGGTGGAGGTTGCTAAAGTGTGTAGCGGTCGTCGAAATGGGACCTTAGTATAAATGCCACGCGGGAAGCAGCTCTGGGAGCCGCGCCAATGTATACGCTCAGCGGCTTCCAGAAGCCCTGGCGTGAGAACTGGCCACTTGGTTGCGCAAACTCCGTCAGTGAGGTCGCTGTACCATGCGTTTTTGCGCGGCGACGGTGGACAGTGTGTTTGCGTGAGTCAGTGCCATTTGGGGAAGCAAAGCAAGCTGGCATAAATTCGGCGTGTCGCTGGGGTGTCCAATGCTTAATGTTACATTGTGGTTGTATCTAGTCTGTTGCACACTGTGTGGTCAAATTCCGTCTGTGATGTCGCTGTGCCATGTGGTTTTACGCGGCTGCGGTGGAAAGCGCGTTTGCGTGAGTCCGTGCCACTGGGGGGAAGTGAAGTGCGCCTGTGTAGATTCGGCGTGTCGCAGGGGAGCGGGATGATTGGCGGCGCCCGCAATGATTAATGATACATTGTCCGTATGCAGATCGCTGTGCCATGCGGTTTTGTGGGGCCACGGTGGAACGTGTGTTTGCGTGAGTCCGTGCCATTCGGGGAATTCGGCGCGTCGCTGGGGAGCAGGATGATTCGCGGTGCCCATGATACTTAATAATGCGTTGTCATATTTAGTCGGCTGCGTACTATGTTGCCATGCGGTTTTGCGCGGCCACGGTGGAAAGTCCGAATTGCGTGAGCCCCTGCCGTTGGGGGAAGGAAAGCGCACTGGTGTAAATTCAGTGTGTCGCTGGGGGGCGGGATGGATGGCGGTGTCCACTTACTACATCCAGAAACGTGCGTCTGCAGGTATACTTGTAACATTTTTTTGTGGCATACACGCAAATGCAGCTGATACAACTCTCAGATGTATTGATACATATCTCTTACTTGCACACTCTTTCGTTCCACGCTCCCGGGCATCCATCGTCTAGTTGTGGTGCTGGGCCACGTGCAAGTTGGAAGGTTGTTTGTGCATTTTTAAGTGCAAATGTCGCTGTCAATTGTGTTTTGTTTGGGGCACCTTGTCCGGTGAGAGCGTCGCTGTGCCAAGTGGTGTTGGTGGTTTGATGCGTTTTGGTGGGCAGCCAGTGGTGATGTGGCGCACAGTGCGTTCCAAGGCCTGCACTTCGTAATGGCATGAGGGCATGGAAAGCAGAAACTGAACACTTGATTGATTGAATTGGCTGAATGTTTTGGTGACGGATACGGTTGCGGCTGCAGGGTTCCAGACATGTATGCAGCAGTTGATGAACACGCCCAAACCCAAACATGCGTGCAGAAAAGGTTCTTCCATGCTTCGGGCCAGTATTGTGTCTCAAAATGGTCGACCAGTCCAATTTGTAATGCAACCATGCCGAAAACGTGTTTGCCAGAAGGTTTGATTCAATTCCAACTTAGGGCCTGACTGGAAGGAATTGATGGAGTTGAAGAAGAATGGGGGCCCCTGCCTTGGTCTCCAGCTGCTGCGCACTGGGGTGGCAAGGGCGCAGGAAACTCTAGACGAAATAAACATTGTGTTTGTTTTGTTTTTGTTTTGTTTTGTTCTGGTGTGTTCCCCTTTGTATTTCTCTTTTGGGGGTGTTTCTGCTTTTTCACCAGATAGCGAAGCTATATAGGGGTTCTTACTTCTCAATGGATGGGTTCCTGATTGCGGAAATTGGCTGCCGTTGCCGCTGCCGCCTTGTCTCCCAAGCTTGTTGCCCTTCATGATTTCGCTCTTGGCTGCCGCTGCCGGCTTGTCTCCCAAGCTTGTCTCTCTTCATCATTTCGCTCTTGGCTGCCGCTGCCGCCTCGTCTCCCAAGCTTGTCTCCCTTCATGATTTCGCTTTTGGCTGCCGCTGCCGCCTTGCCTCCCAAGCTTGTCTCCCTTCATGATTTCGCTCTTGGCTGCTGCTGCCGCCTTGTCACCCCAAGCTTGTCTCCCTTCATGATTTTCACTCTTGGCTGCCTCCCAAGCTTGTCTCCCTTCATGATTTCTCTTTAGCTGCCGCTGCCGCCTTGTCTCCCAAGCTTGTCTCCTTCATGATTTCGCTCTTGGCTGCCGCTGCCACCTTGTCTCCCAAGCTTGTCTCCCTTCGTGATTTCGCTTGTGGCTGCCGCTGCCCAAGCTTGTCTCCAGCCAAAAGCGAAACCATGAAGGGAGACAAGCTTGGGAGACATCCCTTCATGCGTTCGCTTTTGGCTGCCGCTGCCGCCTTGTCTCCCAAGCTTGTCTCCCTTCATGCTTTCGCTTTTGGCTGCCGCTGCCGCCTTGTCTGTGAATCTTGTCTCCCTTCATGATTTCGCTTTTGGCTGCCGCTGCCGCCTTGTCTGTGAAGCTTCATGATTTCGCTCTTGGCTGCCGCTGCCGGCTTGTCTCCCAAGCTTGTCTCTTTTCATGATTTCGCTTTTTGCTGCTGCTGACGCCTTGTCTCCCAAGCTTGTCTTTCTTCATACTTTCGCTCTTGGCTGCCGCTGCCGGCTTGTCTCCCAAGCTTGTCTCCCTTCATGATTTCGCTTTTGGCTGCTGCTGCCGCCTTGTCTCCCAAGCTAGTCTCCCTTCCTGATTTCGCTCTTGGCTGCCGCTTCTGCCTTGTCTCCCCAAGCTTGTCTCCCTTCATGTTTTCGCTCTTGGCTGCCGCTGCCGCCTTGTCTCCTAAGCTTGTCTCCCTTCATGATTTCGCTTTTGGCTGCCGTTGCCGCCTTGTCTCCCAAGCTTGTCTCCCTTCATGATTTCGCTCTTGGCTGCCTCTGCCGGCTTGTCTTCCGAGCTTGTCTCCCTTCACGCCTTGTCTCCCAATCTTGTCTCCCTTCATGATTTCGCTTTTGGCTGGGAGCCTTCTTCTTTGCACAAGCGATCCGTACTTTCCAACTGCGAACTATGCAGGGCTGGAAACGATTTGCTGAAAAGCGCTTTTGCCATGGTGTCTAACTTTTCTTGAAATGCTATCTGGGGTCTATGCCGGTATAATTCCTTTAAACCTCACAAGCGCCAACGCTTTGCCGCATGAAAAACATGTTATTCTAATTTGTTGCGCCTGCAAAAGCAGCCCACGTGAAGAGGCGGTGGTCGATTTGTATATTTCAAGAGAGTATGAACTGCTCGCAGGAGTGCTGCGCCTGTGTTTTTTTGCAGCTGCTCGGCGCTTTGCCACAGCAAACGTTCTACACACCTGGGCCGTACCATGCCGAAGTTTGACAACCCTAGCCTGCAGCCCCATCATTTCCGCAGCCAAAGCCTAGGAATTATCTAGCGCAAAAGGTTCAAATCACGGCGGCGGGTTGATTGACTGCTTGCAGATTGCGGAACCGGAAGCTACTGGGAAGTGCTTAAGGCGGATGCGATTCTTGACAGGAATTGGCTGCAAGATGCTGGCCCCCCTTGCCCACATGGATTTGTTTACACGTGTAGAGCGCCGGCTTGTCGCTGCTTTTTGCACAGCTGGGAAACTGTGGGCCCAACCAAGACCAAGGTTGACAAGACAGTTTGGTTGATCCGGTTGGCCCGGTTGTCCAACTGACCAACCAACCAACTCAACTCTAATTCAAAAAACAAGCCAAAACAAACTAAAACAGACAAACAACCTATACCAAACCGGCCGAACATTTCCACACATTTGACGCTTGGCGCTCAAATAGGTGAGCCGGATTCTAAGGTTTGGTCAGCCCGTGCAACCAACCTTTTGCGTACGGGTAATGTGATCTGGCCAACTAACTTATTTCGCACGTAACAGAGATCCTTCCAAAAACAGTTGCTGGCAAATTGCGATTCGAACGGTGTTTGGTTGACATGCTGTGCCTGTCAAAACCCATCCCCAGAGCCATGCTACTGTTTGTCCTCCTTCTCAAGTGGACGCCCACAAGGCCTCGGCTTGACCAAGAAAGGGATTGCAAAGGAGATTTCCCAGATCGAGGCACCTTGGAACCGTGTTGCGTTCTTTGGGAAGGGCAGGATCCAGAACGATTCAAACTTGTGTATTTCATTTTGGCGCCGCTTATTCTGAGATGTCTGGAAGCTACAGGTGTTTGTCGCGGTAGACATTGGATGCTCATTCTGTGGTTGCGTTGCCAACTACACTGCACGAAAGAAATCACTTCAGATGCCCACTGCTCCATGCGAACGTGATGCGCTCGAAGCAGAACAGTTTCTGACAAAGCTCGTTTGTTTTCCATACTATTCTCCAAACAATGGCGACACTGAAGCGGTTCTGAGGGTCAGAGTCCCAGGGCGTTGTCTAATCATGTCTAATCGAGGTGGTTTGGAAACTGGAAATCTGCGGGCTGCGCTCGTCAGCCTGTCAGCAAAAGTTGCGTTTGCGACGGCGGTCTTGCTCGAAACGTGTGTCCGCGGACACGTGTCTCTTGCAAATGTAGTGCTCAAAAGTCAACGCCTAGGAGATTTGTTTGGGCTGAGAACTGACGATTTTGTGGGGCGTATGTGCCACGCAGTGTAGCTTTTGGGAGCTCTGTTCAGAAAGTACGTTTGTGATGCTGCTGTACAATGTGAGTTTGCATGGCTCCGTGCCATTTTGGCGCGTTGCGTTGTAGGGGGAACCACGTGCTCTTACGTGTGTGTTCTCATATGTAAGCTTCTCGCGCGCTGCCTCATTTGTGCTTGCGCGAGTGCGCTGTCATATCTGTGCTTTCGTACGCCTTCTTTGACGTGCAATGTGCTCTCGTATCTGCGTTTCCTTGCATGCTCTCATCAAACGCCTCACGCATGTGCTCCCACATGTGTGGTCTGAAGATGTCTGAAGTGTGTTTGCGCACTGAAATATCGGCATGCCACGAAGCTACGCGTAAGGGCGAAAACCGGACTTGATCAGTCCAGTGTACCTGCTGAGATGATGCCTGTTTACTTTACTTCCGGGCCCCGTTGCAATCAGAACACGACCAGCCATTACCAGCCATTCCATTTGTTCAAGTCTGCAGTCACACTGCTTGAAGCGGCATTTTCATGGTGAGGCCTCTCATGGTTGGACTCCTTTGCACTTGTTTTGCCCAGCAACTGGCCTCCGCGTGGCATGTGGCATTCAGACCGCGCGTACTTTATCCTAAGTGTGCGCGGTGTGCACAAATGAAGCTTGCACGTGAGAGCACAGATATGGGGCCCACATATGAGGGTGCAGTGTGACAGATAGGGAGCGCACGAAACAATCGTTCTGCCGCGTCTCATTGTTTATTCTGCTTCAAAAAGACGATGCTGTATGGAACTTTGAACTGGGAGCGGAAGCCGCATTTGTATTCCTGCCAGAGCTTATGCCAAACGTTGATTAAGACTTATTGGGGCCTGTCTCCACCTTAGGTGCACACACAGCTTGCACACACCAAAACCAGGCTCGGCTAGATTTTCCCCGGTCCGCTTTAATGAGGTTTGGCGTCGTTGGTACGCACTTCCTTTCCTTTTTCTTTTCATGTCTTCTCCGCCTTCATGTCCTGTCATCTCACTCTGTCCTTCTTTTGCGCACACAACGGTTCGGCCCTTAGCGTGCGCGCATGCATTTACATTTACATTTAAACCAGGTTGTAGGCGGCCCAGGTCTTGATAGTGAGGTATGGTTCCTTGGTTGTTGTCCCTGTGCATTTGGTTCCGCTTCATCACAGCCACACGCATTTGTCTTGTTTCATCTTCTTCTCATGTCTTCGTCTTTTTGTCTTTTTGCGCGCGCACGCATACAGACTAGTGTGCCCCTTTGTTTTTCTAAGATTTTGCCACCCCTACACAGGGGGCGTGTGTGTGTGTGTGTGAACCTTTGGAATCGAAGAGAACCTTTCGGTTGTCTAAGCAGGGCACAAACCATCGTGGATACTTGTGCCAATGATGCTGTTCCGCGATGGGGGAAGCCGAGACTGATCACATCCGTGTACTTGCTGAATGTTGTGGCGTTTGGTAACCATGTTCTCCTCTAGGCTTCAGGCTGATTAGGTGGAGGTAGGTCGGCAGATTCTGCACGCGCTGTCGATCGCTCGAGCCGTTCGAGTCTTTGGAACTTTGAGACTTTGAATTTTGAGATATTGTTTCTTTTGGTTGGCTGGCGCAACACTTGACAACACACACTCGGGAAATTCGCGCGGAATTGATCTGCGGTTAGCCACCCACCGGCCACAGTGAAAAACCTAAGAATCCAGGGAATACGAAACCTGAAAGGTAAAAGTGGAGAGGCTTCAGGAAGAAAGAGTGATACGATTCCAGAGTTGTATTCCACGTGGTTTTTGTTTCAACAGCTTGCCGCAGGCCACTGATAACATGGCCGCCATCATCTTCAGGGATGTGATTCCCAAACTCGAGGCGCTGCTGTGAAGTGTTGACATGATGAAACAGCTTGCTCGCCTTTCTCTTGGGTGCCAAGGAGAACCCGCTTGCAGATTCCTTAGGCTATCTGAGCGCCACCTTTCTCTTGATTCTTGAGCCTTGGCAAAATGAATAGTTTGTATGACAGGCAGAATTGCGAGTTGCCTTGTTCCAGGTGTTGGTATTATTCACGCTCTGTTTGGTGCCTCCAGTGATAAACCCAGATGAGTAGCTTGGAGCTACTGGCAGGAGTAGGTCTGACGACTCCCTTGCAGCTTCGCTGAACCGTGTGGCCAAGTGTTCCAGCCAGCGTTGGCGGCGGCGAGAAAAAGGCGGCAGTCATTTTTTGGAACAACAACTTGAACACGTGAACACGCAAGCTGATTTGCCACACGTCCTTTGCTGTTGGGATGGCGCCACAGCTGCCATAGCCGTGACAACTTCAAGACTGTGGAGCACGCTACCCGACTATCTTGTCCGAGTCCAGTTGTTGCACACTAAAGCTTTCGATTGGCCGTTCCGATGCGCTTTACACGCACCAGAATGAAGCTCTAGCCAAGTCATGAGCCAATGGAAGGCGTTGGTGAAGGCGCAAAGGGCAGTGATTTCATTCATACACTTGCAACCGTATAACATACATAATATGCTAGAATCAACATGAGGAACACGCACAAATCAAGGAAGTGCACCGTCGCACAAAGGCTCTAGCGGATAAAAGGAATCCACTTTTGCTTCGCATGGTAGCGGAGCGCTGGTCGTAAGAGCCGCTCTCCCTACTCGCGGCGCCCTAGCGCAGCGACTGCTGCCATAGGCCGCTGTGACTTAGGGGAGCTCAATCTACAGGTTTTGGATAGGTCTCTTTGCCAGCGTTGCTGGTGGAGCAGGAGATCCGCTCTGTCAGGAGGTGATCCACTACAGGCCGTGGAACGCGACACCCCCCGAGGACAGGTGGAAGATCAGGAGAATCGACGCCGTGCTCGTCGAGGGTAAGGGCTACGTGGGTGGACTACGGTGCCAGGACCGAGAACAACGTTCGAGCTTTTGGTCCTAGAGGAAAGAGAAGGGATCCAGAACCTCTGGGCAATGGTGAGCGAGGGTTCGAAGTTGATATCGTAGGCCCCGGAACACCTGGCAGTGACCCAATCCTCTTCATCATGGTCGAGGCGCGTGAAAGCACTAGACCTGTTCAAGCCGGACACCAGGGCAGACGATGGAGCCACTGGAAGTTTCTTTTTTATCAACTACATCAAGGGCATAGACCCCAGGATGGCCAACGGCAGTGCCAAGGTCCTATGGAGATGTGGGGCAATGAATCTCAGGATGGTTGACGCCCGAGGCGCGAGAATTGCCCATGATGGCGTGACGAAGGCAAAGATCAGAACGACACAAAGAGATTGAGCTTGTGGAGGAGGTCATGTTGGGGAATGTTCAACACGCGCAGTGACTGGCCCATTGTTGGCAGAGGTCCCACGCCTCTCCGCAGCCAAGTTCACAAGCGGTTCGGGAGGGTTTGTTCTGCCTGGCGTTTGTCCTGGGGCGCCTCTTCATTTGCACGCCCTCAAAGGGGGCGCGCGTGACTCGTTTTCCAGAATTGTCAAGGCAATGATTGGTAATAGTCATCATACGTTTCTTTGGTTCTTCAAAACTCACAGCTTCCCAAAACAATCAATTCCATTATTTAAAGATTGCTCCTAAACAAATTTTCAAGGTAGTAGACCAGGAAGGCCCCAGATCCTCAATAATAGATTTGTTTTATATAAGGGCTCTCAATTGCGCAATGTTTTCCTCAGAAAAGATCTTAATACTACTAAGCCAATGGCTGGCTTGCTGAGAGTATTTGGGATTGCAAAGGAAAAGGATTGCTGAGAATACCTAATGAAAAAGAACTTCAGAAAGGAACATGAATACTACAATCAATTACAAAAGAAATCCTCCCAGGAACCCAGATTTCATTTTGTTGTAATTTATTGTAGAGGATCTTCCATTTGTTTGAGGGGGGACCCCCCTTTACTAATAATCAAGATCCAACATTACGACAGCTTGCAAGGGCAAGGAACTGGGCCTCTTCAAGGCCCGCGCAAAGACCCCCCACTGTGACACGCCACAGGAGCGCAGTGACCTTGCAGGCGAGAGACCAGACACCCAGTTTGCTATCCAAAGCCTCCCGGTTCATGACGTGACCGGCAAAGCAGCAAGCAGTCACGCAGGAACGCCTGGCATGTCTGTTCATACCTACAGGGCGCAGAAGGCTATGGAGTGAGGATTTCAACCAGGCCCAAGGGCCAATCAGCCATGAACGTGATGGACCACGACCACGTGAACAAAGAGAGGCGTTTGCTGGAAGCGGTCACCGACGCGGAATATCCAAGTGTTCATTGACGGCAACATCAGCCCAGAAGGCCATATCCCTTTCATCAAGAGAGTCAGAGTTTGTGGCAACGGTGGCTGGCCCTTCAGACGGGCTACTCATCAAGCACCTCTGGATGAAGGTGACAGAGGAGGAATGTGACACGAAAGTGAGATCTGATAGCTCAGCAGCCAGGTCAATGGTACGACGCCAAGGGATAGGACGAGTTCCACACATGGACGCATCATTGGTGTGGATCCAGCAGAAAGAAAAGGAGACAGCGCTGCTTCGCACAGAGCCCAACTGCGCAGACATTTGCGCAAAGAGTTTGGCAAGGAAGCGCGCGATGGGACTTCTCTACATGCTCAAGATGGTGACGCATGGAGACGACAGGATTGGAGGAACAAATGAAGAAGGGATTGAAGAAACTGATGAGAAGCAAAGACCTACATGTGGGATTGCTCCTTTTGATGGCCAGCATGGACCAAGCTGGCGCTCCTTGCTTCAGTACATCATCAACAAACGACCAAGCATATCAAGAAGGAGACGAATGGAAACAATGATGTGAAGGAAGAAGGCGCTCAAGCTTGCTGCTGGGTTGGCTTCGAAGCTCTTTCCCAGTATGAGCGGGAATCGATTGAAATGAGTTCGATTGGAGCTATATGTGGAAGAATTGGAGCGCTCAATTCGTGAGGCGAGGGAGCAGCGGGATCAATACTTTCAAGAGTTCCTGCTTGCAGACTGCCATGGTCAGGCGCTGATGGAACGGTTTTTGAAGTACGGATCAGCCGCCCACGCGCAAATCGAGAAGTGCACCGTCACATGAAGGCTCTAGCGGACAAAAGGAATCCACTTTTGCATTGCGTACTATATAATCATAATTTAATATATATATATATATATACATATATATATTACATATACAACTATTGTTTATCGTTATAGATTACATTTATGCAAGCGCTAAATGTGGTTTCTGCTTTCGTCTTCAGTGCAGGTGCTTGTGGTTTCATCCTTCAGGCAGCCAGAGCCTTGTGAAGCCAAAGGGCAAGTTCCAGGAAAGTTGCTCAACATGATGATGTACACAATATTTCTTTCATGACAGCGCAGGGCGTCGGCCAGTTGCTGGCAAGACTGCCGTTGTGGCGTCGGTGTCTGGTTGCTTGCCCACCCACCGCTCGTTCTTCATGTCCAGCTTGATTTTGTTCCCCTTACTTCCTGCTGCACCTGGCGCTCACAGTGTCCCATGGCCTGTTGCTTGTTGCTGCCTTGTTTCCAAGCTTGGTTGGGTGAACGCGCAAGACTTGTGGAGGGCGGCCCCATTGTGGGAAAAGCAACCCTCAAGCTTCTGGCGCCTGTTGTCACATGGACCGCTTTCTTGACCTCTGCCTTCAGTCTCGATGTGGTTGCGTCCCGTGGTTGGCGCAACCCCAGCAGCATATGGCTGATTATACAGAATACAGTAGGAACTCTACCGAGCGGCTTTTTGTCGTAATAATAGAGAGCGCTCGCTACGCCAAAGTCCTGCCACTGAGATCAAGTTGGCAGCAGCTAACCAACGACAGGCTGCTTCATTTGAACCAACGCCGTCCTTTCTTCACTGTCAGCCCATCTCCACTGATGCCAAAGATGCTGAGCAGTTTCAAGTAAAAACTATAATCACAGCGCGCCCGCGTTGTGACAGGAGAACTTCTATTTGGCCCCGCTTCTCACTAGAACAAGACCGTTTCTTTGCACCGGTTTGCGGTAAAGGCTTGCGTTCGTCGACCGGCTTTCGTACTACTTTGAAATTTAGAGACCCTCGGACCTTCGAGACTGTTTGGGGTTTTGGTGATAGTCGTTTGACGGTTTTACGCTGCTCCACTTCATCCCTGTCTATCTATGCCCCTCGAATTTTTTACGCAGCTTCAGGGCAAGTGGCATTCAGACCATACGCGCTTTTTCCTGTGTGTTTCTCAACCTTTGAGAGCCCGGAGTGAGTGTGTGTGTGTGTACGCGTGTATGCATGCATGCGTGCATGTATGTATGTATGTATGTATGTATGCACGCATGTGTGCATATGTATGTATGTATGTTTGTTTGTTTGTTTGTATGTGTGTGTATGTATGGTATGGTCTGGTATGGTATGTAACGTAATGTAATGTAACGTAACGTACTGTAATGTAATGTAATTGTGTATGTAAGGTCTGCGCTTTAATGCTATGTTGTTAACGTATGTTTTGTTGGGTGATGTCGAGTTGCGTAATGCACTGTAAGGTCATGTACTGCAATGGTATGCACCTGCGCATGCATGTATGTATGTATGTATCTTTGTGTGTATGCATGCATGTAAGTATGCCTGTGTGTGTGTTTGCGCATGTCTGTTTGTATGTATGTATGTATGTACATTTATATATATACATATATATATGTTTGTACTTGTTTCTGTGTTCGAGTTTGTATGCGTGTAGCTGCGCGTGTTTTGTAGATGCTGCTACTCGATATGTTCTTCCTCTTCTTAGTTTCCACCTTTCACATTCTATACAGAGTTTGCTTCTTGCAGGCCTCATCATACCAAACAAGCTGTGCTTCCACAAGGTGGTAAGACTTTGAATCCGAGCGGATATGCAGCACACGGTCGAATTTCCAGGCACTCAGCGTATTACCGTCTCATTCTTTGTTTGCCTTTAGACTCTAGATATTGAACCAGTGTTTGTCGTTGCTCTGGAGGCCAGCCCATGGGTTGAGAGTGGAGCACCTTCAGCAATTGGCGGCGTAACACGCTCAGTGGCTGCGCATCTATGTATGTCATATATGTTTTTTGGTTTTTGCGTTTACTTTTGATTTATTTCCAACAAACCAGAGTCTTCTGATTTGAGGCTGGGGCCCATGGGCAGCTGGTATTTTTGCGCAGCGTACACGGCTGCGTTGTGTTTTGCAGAGCTTGCCTCAGATTTCCTCCTTCTTTTTCCCGAATGCGTAGCGAAGGGTTCCCGTTTATAGTTGGGGGTCTGGGGGTTGGAGCTGTGTTTGCATAGCTTGCGTCGTGTCGTCGTCTGTCGTCGTCTCTCGTCGTTTGTCGTCGTCGTCGCGTCTCAAATTCGAGGCCATTGGGGGAAGCTTTTGCAAGTGACTTTTCATGGATGTGTCACGTGTCAGTTTGCGCCGCTATTACATTGTGATATGACAATGACATGTCGCGCAAGAAACGTGATGCATTTCGCTGCACAGGCGCAGCGTTTTGTGAGATCCGCAGTTTGCTGCGCAGTTCCATTGGGATTAGCGTTTGGAGAGTCGTGTTTTTGGGGTGTTGGATGTGGCCGCGCCATTGGGATTTGCGTTTCAGGGTGTGGCATCGAAGCTCGGTTTTCGCGAGAAGTCTCAGCTGAAATGGCGGTTTTGGTGGATGGGAGTGTGCTCAGAACGGGTCGAAATCATTCCAAACGTGTGGTGTGGTGCAAATTTTGTTGAAGCTCACATGAGATGATATTGTCACTTTTCGTGGCAGGCGCAGGACTTTGTGCGGGTTTTGAGGCGTGGAAGTGCGATTCTCGTGGCAGGCCCAGGGAATCGTGAGGTTGCGAGGTATGACGGAGGTGACATTTCGTGGCAGGCGCAGGACTTTGTGCGCGTTAGACGTGTGGACGCGGAAAGATTCGTGGCAGGCGCAGGGAATCGTGAGGTTGTGAGTTGCGGTAGAGGTGAATGTCGCTGTCACATTGGGATTGGCGTGTGAGCGGGTGTGGTTTGGAGGGGCTGGAATCGCGAAACTGCTTGGCAGGGCTGCGTGATGTGTGTGCTCCGATGGGTGTTTCCGCTTGACTTTTGGAGGAAGTCTCGTACAAAACGCTCGTTTTGCAGACTTTGACATGTGAGTTTTTGAGGACGTCTCGTACGAAACGCTCGTTTTGGCGACTTGACGCGTGACTTTTTGAGGAAGTCTCGCGCGAAACGCTCGTTTTGGAGACTTGACGTGTGACTTTCGAAGGAAGTCTCGTACGAAACGCTCGTTTTGGAGACTTGACGTGTGACTTTTGGAGGACGTCGCTCGTCTTGCAGCCTCGAAGCGTGTGTCCTACAAGACTGTCCCACCCAGATAGAGTGTCCCGTATGAGTGTCCCTTAAGAGTGTCCCACAAGAGTGTCCTATAAGAGTGTCCCACAAGAGATCACAACAGTCTACAAGAGTGTCCCACAAGAGTGTCTCACAAGAGTGTCCCGCAAGAGTGTCCTACAGGAGTACCCCACAAGAGTTTCAATCGTTTCCTACAAGAGTGTCCCACAAGAGTGTCCTACAAGAGTGTCCCACAAGAGTGTCCTACAAGAGTGTCCCACAAGAGTGTCCCACAAGAGTGTCCCACAAGAGTGTCCCGCAACAGTGTCCCACAAGAGTGTCTCACAAGAGTGTCCCTTAAGAGTGTCCTACAAGAGTATCCCACAAGAGTTTCCTACAAGAGTGTTCCACCAGAGTAACTCTTAAGAGTGTCCCTTAAGAGTGTCCTTTAAGAGTGTCCCACAAGAGTGTCCCACAAGAGTGTCCTACAAGAGTGTCCCACAAGAGTGTCCCACAAGAGTGTCCCACAAGAGTGTCTCACAAGAGTGTCCCGCAAGAGTGTCCCTCAAGAGTGTCCTACAAGAGTAAGCCACAAGAGTTTCCTACAAGACTGTCCCACAAGAGTGTCCCACAAGAGTGTCCTACAAGAAGTCCCGCAAGAGTTTCCTACAAGAGTGTCCCACAAGAGTGTCCCACAAGAGTGTCCCACAAGAGTGTCCCGCAACAGTGTCCCACAAGAGTGTCTCACAAGAGTGTCCCTGAAGAGTGTCCCACAAGAGTATCCCACAACAGGTTCCTACAAGGGTGTTTCAGAAGAGTGTCCCACAAGAGTGTCCTACAAGAGTGTCTCACAAGAGTGTCCCACAAGAGTGTCCTACAAGAGTGTCCCACAAGAGTGTCCCACAAGAGTGTCCCACAAGAGTGTCCCGCAACAGTGTCCCACAAGAGTGTCTCACAAGAGTGTCGCTAAAACGTCCTACAAGAGTATACCACAAGAGTTTCCTACAAGAGTGTTCCACAAGAGTGTCCCACAAGAGTGTGCCACAAGAGTGTCCTACAAGAGTGTCCCACAAGAGTGTCCTAGAAGAGTGTCCCACAAGAGTGTCCCATAAGAGTGTCCCACAAGAGTGTCCTACAAGAGTGTCCCACAAGAGCTTCCTACAAGAGTGTCCCACAACAGTGTCCCACAAGTGTGTCCCGCAAGAGTGTCCTACAAGGGTGTTTCAGAAGAGTGTCCTACAAGAGTGTCCCACAAGAGTGTCCTACAAGAGTGCCTCACAAGAGTGTCCCACAAGAGTGTCCGACAAGACTGTCCCATAAGAGTAACCCACAAGAGTGTCCTATAAGAGTGTCCCACAAGAGTGTCCTGTAAGAGTGTTCCACAAGAGTTTCCTACAAGAGTGACCCACAAGAGTGTCCTTCAAGAGTGTCCTACAAGAGTTTCCCACAAGAGTGTCCCACGAGAGTGTCCTATAGGAGTGTCCCACAAGAGTGTCCTACAAGAGTGTCCCAAAAGAGTGACCCACAAGAGTGCCCTATAAGAGTGTCCCACAAGAAGTGTCCTACAAGAGTGTCGTGTAAGAGTGACCCACAAGAGTGTCCTACAAGAGTGTCCCACAAGAGAGTGTCCCATAGGAGTGACCTGCAAGAGTGTCCTTTAAGAGTGTCGCACAAGAGTGTCCTACAAAAGTGCCCCGCAACAGTGTCCCACAAGTGTGTCCCGCAAGAGTGTCCTACCAGAGTGTCCCACAAGAGTGTCAGTCCTACAAGAGTGTCTCGCAAGAGTGCCCTACAAGAGTGTCTCACAAGAGTGTCCCACAAGAGTGTCCGACAAGAGTGTCCCATAAGAGAGTGTCCTATAGGAGTGACCTGCAAGAGTGTCCTTTAAGAGTGTCCCACAAGAGTGTCCTACAAAAGTGCCCCGCAACAGTGTCCCACAAGTGTGTCCCGCAAGAGTGTCCTACAAGAGTG